TTTTTTTTATTCATTCTTCCAGTGGCATATTTTGAGTTTTCAGGTTTTGGGCTGTATGTAACTTTTTAATTAATTTAAATTTGACGACTTAATAAAATATCTGAGTTAATAAAACTAATTCTTGCAGTAAAACTTTTTAATTTAAGTTCAGTGTTTGCTTAAAAAAACAATAAAAGTTTGATTTCTGTTCTGTATGAAACAAAAGATGCATCATTTTGTTGTTCATAAATAATGAAAAGTTTCTCAGAATAACACTTTCGTGTTGCCAAATGTTGTGTTTATTGGAGGTGAAAGGTCTTTTGGCCTCCTTGGAAACACTTTGGCGACCTGCAGGGACGCCTCTGTAAACACACCCGCATGCACGCGCGCAATAACGGCGCAAATGGTGCGTGAAATCGCAAACGTGTGCACATGTGTGTGCAGCACCTCTGTCTGAACCCTGCAGTCAGTCGGGGGGGTGTTCAGATTAGATTTTTTATTTTCTGTTTTGATTTTGATCTGATTATTGCTGAACTTATTGTGTAAAGGTTTATTAAGTTTGGGTGAAACAGGCTCGTGGCAAGGCCTGCAAAGATTATTAAAATATTTAATCCAAATTTCGGTGCATATTTCCAGTCCTTTTAGCTGTTTTAAATATCTTTAAGCGTTTTAAAAGGCCACAAATTCTAGTTTCACTCACTGTCAGGCTCATATTCCAGGCCCAGCTTTAAAATTTAAAATAAAATAATAATAATAATAATAATAATAAAATAAAAAAAAACGATTTTTTTTGTTATGCTAAAAAAAAAAAAAAATCTGTATTTAAAAAAAATGTTTCTTGCTGCAAAGAAAACACATTTTATTAACATTATTATTGTAACAGCTCATGCAAGCCGACATTTTATTTTATTTTATCTTTCCCAGCATGTGCGCGTGTTCCTGTCCGTGCACGTGCCGTGCTCGCCCCCTCCTTTAATGACAGATGATGGGTTCTCAGCCCCGGGGCCATTTGTCTCAGGCTGTCCACAAACAAGCCAAGCGTGCAAATGAATTTGTTCATTCACATAAAACAGAGGCACGCACGCGCACCACAGTAACACACACACGCCACGTGCACGCCATTTTGGGCTAATTTGATTATGTTCATGAGGCTTTTTGTTGCTCTTTTATTACAAACATCGCAGCTTCTTGCAGTTAAAAACAGGATTTGGTGCGCGCGAGCTCTCACCTTTGCATCTTCAGAGAATACATCCTGGCGCTCTTCTCGTCTATCAGGTGAGACTTCTCCGAGTTTGCAGCTTTAGTATCCATTTTCTGAGTCCAGGCAGAAACAATAAAAATAAAAATAAACCCTCCTTTTAGACTGAAGTCAGACAGAAAAGCCGCAGCAGCTCCAGTTTGTCTGCAGACTTCAGGACTGAGCAGGAGATCCGCTCATTGCGGCGCAGACAGGCAGCAGGAGGAAACCATCTGAGGCTGAGAAGTTCGGTTCTGGTCCGAACCCTGCAGCTGCTGCTGTCTCTGCAGCTCAGACAGAACCGGGACAGACTGGACTGCAGCAGGACACCTGAGCAGCGTCAGCATGAAGGGAACCAATCACCTGCACGAGGCAAATAAGGTTCATTTTTATCACTTGTTTGAGTAAAAACTGCATTGTTTTTATTTAAGTTTGCTACAATAAATGTTTTTTTCCTCTGAATATTGTTTAAAAAGCATAAAAAAATACACTTGTTGTTGCACAACTCATAACTAAAAATCATCTGTTCCGAAGAAGCATTTATAATAATGTCCATGATTTGTTTTTATGTTTACATTTTAAAAACCTGATGGAAAATAAAATTAAGTGATTTTCTTGTTTTTTATCTTTCTTCCATCTGGACCGTTTTTTCCTGCAGTTTCGAACATTTTGTATTTATTTTATATACTAAAACTCAATTATTGACTTTCAACGGATTTATTTATTTATTTACTTTTCAAAGAGTCACATTTTGTCTACCACCTAGATATCATATTAATTATAAGTATAATTGTATTTATAAAATAAAGTATATAAAATAAGGGAGAAAAGTGCTCATGGTCTATCAGAATTAATACTTTGTTGATTGAGTGTATAAAAATGTAGATTTAGCTAATTTATCTCAGTCTGTCCAGGAATAAAACCGAGCACAGCTTTCTTTGATCTTTCAGGTTGTCATTCAAGAATGATGCGTTTAGGTGCTGTGGGACAAACGTTTAGAGCTTGAGAGAGTGATTTGCGACAAAAGGATGACAGCAAAGGTCAAATGAAAAGTTTACAAGACAGTTGTGAGGCCAGTTGTGTGGTCTGGAGCCAGAGACATGGACAAAAAGACAGGAGAAAGAACTGGAAGTGGCAGAAATGAAGATGTTGAGGTTCTCCTTGGACAAGGATGGAGATCATCAGAGGTGCAGCACAGGTTGAACAACTGGGAGATAAAGTTAGAGAGGACACACTGAGATGGTTTGGACATGTCCAGAGGAGGGACAGTGGGTATATTGATAGAAGGATGTTAGAAATGCAACAAAGAGGAGATATGTGGATGCAGTTATAGTGAGGACAGAGGATGCAGAGGATAGAATGAGATGGAGGAGGATGATTCGCTGTGGAGACCCCTGAAGAGGGAAAAGCCAAAAGAAGAAGAACCTGAAATATGTTCCTGTACAGTATCACTGTTAATGTGTTCTTAAATTAAACAATTGTAAGCAAAATTTGATGCCAACTACCTCGTGTATTCATTTACCTGTGGAAACAGCCAAAGTGACTAAAGATGGGTCAAATAATGAACTTTTTGCCATTTTTCTACACACCACCATATTTATTTATATAATTACAACCAGCCAATTATGTGACTCAACTTTTCACGTGGGTTTCAAAAGATTAAAGTAAATGCTTTGTTTACGCTGAGTGCTTATTCCACAATCAGTATTTGTAAAAATACTTCAGTCACTTCTTTCAAACTGCACCATTTGATGCATCAGGATACCCTTTTTATGTTTGTCATCATATAGTTTGCAGCAACATGAGGCCTTAAAAAGACTTAATAAAGACTCAGTAAATAAAAGAACACAGACAGATCCCTCACGTGGACCAGGACCTTAAAGTTTCCACTCAGGAGGGGCAGGAGGGAGGTGGATTTGCACGTGGGTTCATTTAGCAACAAACTGAGCAACGGGCTGCAGTTTAAAAGCTTCAAACTTCACATTTTTCAGTTTGAAATGAGAGCAACACATCTCCAAAAAACAAGAAAATAAGTTTCTTAAAATAAAAACCAAGTGCCACAACTGAGATGTTATGAACACATTTTACACGTTTGTATGTTTTCATTTATTTATTTTTTGTGCTTAGTCTAGAGATTTTGTAGTTTCAGAAATTTAATTTTATTAAAAGCCTAATCAGGAGCTTGTCATTGGCTGGAAATTCAATAAGGACATGTTAAATTCTACGTCCCATGTTTGATTTGCTTTCGACGTTTTCCTTCAGCGGATTTTTTCCGATGACAGTAAACGCATCAGGACACGTCGCTACGTCATGACGCAGTCAGTGTTTGGTTTCCGCGCGGAGTCAATATGGCAACCACGAGCCGCGAAAGAAAACCAGGCGATGAGCCTCTGGATGAGGGGATGGAGACCGACAGGTCGGTGCTGAGGTGCGGCAGGTGAGGGCGAGGGATGAAGGTGTGCACGTCGCGTGGCGGTTAGAGATCCGCGCGAGCTCACTGAAGCCCGCTAACGCAGTTAGCCGCTTAGCATCTCGAGCCAGGACAGTCTGATGTGTGTCAGCGTGGCTGCGGAGCAGAGAACAAAAGAGAGACAAAAGATGGGAAGTTATAAAAATAAACACACTAACAGCGAGATTCTGACTGAATAACATTAACAGGTTGTTAACATCTTGACAAACCTGACCGTAATGTTAGTCGTCCCTCTTTCTGTGACAGTTATTTTTAGCTTTGTGTTGAACTCCCTTTAAAAAACGATATTTTTATATATATATTTGTCTTTGGTGAACCTTTTTGGACTTTAGCACATAAACGAGGCGTTTTAGAGTGCTCTGAAAAATTCGGCTTTATCTTCTATTGTTTATGATGAACTCTAACGGGACATGGACGTCATGTCCAGTTGTTGGGATGCTGGATTCAAGTCAGGTGTCTGAATCCGAACCAGCAGGACTGTTGGTGTTTACATTTACAAACCCTGCTCAATGTTGAGGAAGATTAGATTTTATTTACAGCTGCACAACATCCAAACTAGCTTATAAATATTTCAGAAATTTGTTATCGCGTGAAAAATATTTAATTGTTGTTACTTCATAAATAATTCTTCTGTTGTTACAACTCAAGAATGAACTTTTAAAAACTATTATTACTGATCGCACTAGTGTGGCCACCTGTAATGTTGCCCCAGCTCTGTTGAATCGTAAATAATAAAATATGCAGATCGTTAGTATGACCAAAAACTTTGTCAGCATTTAATTCTTCTCATGGATTTAAAATGTGCTCGTGAATTTTAAGAATATAAAGAGGCAACATGTGGACAGCTGTTCTCCATCGCCTGAACTTAAATGTGTCTGAGCTGCAGCCGTGCTTACGTTTGCATTTTATTTACCAACTTTTCTTTAAAAGCATTGAACCAAGTAGGCCCTGCCATTTGATTATTAACAACTAATTTAACTCTTAGACAATACAATGAAGAGGCTCTAAGGTAAAGTAAAGTGTTCAGGTTTGTGAGGTGTATTTTTTAAATAAAATAAGCCAAGTGATGACAGCCTTACTCATGTGATGGGTGACCCCGCTCGGAGTGCTGCGTCCTGGGCACCAGTGTGATTTCCTTGGGAGGGTTGGTAAGTTCCCCCTTCCTCCCACTCAACCACACTGACATTAAAGTGGAGAGGAGTTCAGAGAGGGGCGTTCCAGTCAACATGCTCCCTCTGTCTTCTCTGCACCACAACAACATATGTGCAGGTCCCTCTAGTGATGATTACACGTCAGCCATTTCAGTAAGCGGCATTGTTCAAATTTTTACCATCAAACTTTTGTGTGACTGTGTCTGTTTAGAAAAGAGACACTTTTACCGCTACAATTTCTTCAGGATCAGCCGGACCTGCAGATATATTGTAATAGCTAAAACGCCTGCACTGTAGCAGCCACTCGGGGTCAACCATGAGCTAAAAAAGGCTTTTCTGATGGCAAAATATATAAGATAAACACAAAAACTAAAGAAACATCTTCTGTGAAATAGTGTGAATGTCGAGTGTTGAATGGCTTTGATTTAAAAAAAAAAAAAGCGCTGAAGCTGAGCTAATAAAGCTAAAAGAAGCAGAACCCCAGACTAGTTAAGAGATTAAATGAAACGCACAAAAGCTAAAGGAAGCAGAAAGTTAGCTAGCAGAGAAACGCTTGATAAAAGTAGCTAAAAGCTGGTAGCTAGGAGCTAAACATTAGCTGAAAGTAACAAATTGTTAGCTGTGAGCTGAATGCTAGCAGCTAAAAGTAATTTAAAAAGATACGTAACGCTTAAAGCAGTTTAAGAAGACAAAAATAGAACACGTGTGCTGGACGATGTACTTTATGAAAATTAAAGTCTCATGTAGGAGCCGAACGTTTTGACGTACGAAAGGCTAAAGTAGCACCAAGGATGCTGAAGTAGTTAAATTCCAAAAAGCATTTAGAGAAAACACAAAAATAAAAACGAATGTTCCCGTCTCTCCAGTGGGAGCGGAGACAATTCCTTCAACAGTGTCTCCAATCGTGTCCCCCACTGTCCTCTGACGCCTTCTTTGACTCCCCGAAAACGGACGACGAGCCAGTGCAAGACCGAGCCTCCTCTCCTGAGGACCAACAAGAGGACCATCTACACTGCAGGCAGACCACCGTGGTACAACGTCACTGGGACCACCTTCAAAGAGGCCTTCGTCATCGGTGAGTCAACAAACAGCTAAAACAATCGTCAGAATTAAAACTGGTCTCTTTTTTTTCTTGGTGCTTGTTTTCTAAACCAGTTTTTAAAAAAAAGTTTAAAATTAATAACGTCAGTTTGTTTAGCTCGTCGTGTTGTCTTGTCATTAACTGATGGTCGGTTTGACCGTTTGTTGGACGTCGGCGGGTCTGTCCATCCACGGAACGTCATCTTCAAGACAATAAAACTGAAAACATCCACATGAGGACCCTGTCAGGATGATGGCTGAGATTTCTGGAAACAGTCAAATCTTTACAAGACCGCCACAAGCTCCTGCGTTTTGCTGCAAAGAAGATGACTCAAGTTAATTATTTAGTTTGAACAATTAAAGACTGTGTTGGTCTTTAAGGGTGCGAAAATTAATCCTTAAAACATTTAAATGTGACGAACACAACAAGAACAGTTTGCATTGGCGTAGAAAAGGTCATCTGAATTCTGAGTCCTGAATGACGGCTGAAAATTTGTTGAAAACGTAGAGCGGTCGCCTCTCTGCGAGAAGGTTGCCGGATCAAATCTAGAGATGCACCGATCCGATACCAATATAAAAACGTCTGGATCGGGTATCGGTGACGATGTGACCGATCCATGACTGGGCAGATCTATTCACTCTAACTCTATGTTTTGTGCTCTGAGTGATGTCACACACTAGCGAACTCACCGCACATTCGACAGCTACGTGCAATACGTGCGCATCGACGGTTCCAAGGGGTGACACTAAAACTTCCAGCTATAACACTACTAACTTAATCAAGCATCTCGGTATCGGATCAGCATCGATTGATACTAAATCCATCTCTAATCAAATCCCGGCCAGGGGCCTTTCTGGGTGGAGTTTGCAGGTTTGGATGGATGGATGGATGGATGGATGGATGGATGGATGGATGGATGGATGTGGATGGATGGATGGATGGATGGATGGATGGATGTGGATGGATGGATGGATGGATGGATGTGGATGGATGGATGTGGATGGATGGATGGATGGATGGATGGATTGATTGATTGATTGATGGATTGATTGATTGATTAGCAAACAGTAGCAAAAAGCTAAAATCAGCAAGACCGTTGCTAAATTTTCCATTTAATTCTATTTATTTAATCAGATTTAAAATCCCACTGAGATTAAGAGCTTATTTTCAAAAAGTAAACGGCACACAAAACGTTCTGCTGGTAGGAAACCTGCAGCCAAAGCTAAAATAAGCAAAATTGTAGCTAAAACCATTAAACAGTACTTTAATGCTAGCTTCAGTAACTACAAGCTAATATTATCACAGCAGTAGCTGCGGCACTGATGGTAAAACATAAATAAAGCCGCAGCACCGATCTACTAAATGAGCCGAACGTTTTGCTACTTGAATAGCTAAAATTACTGAAAGTTTTCTGCGGTCGAAGCTGGACAGAGCTGTGTGCATGCTGACCCTGCCTTCACACAGTTAGGGCGACCTCATCATTTTATTGAGATCTTTTTGGTGAGTCTCTGCCATCGTGTGTGTTTGGTGTGTCGGGAGTCGTAAAATGATTCTCTGTGGGCGCCTCTGCAGCTGGCTGCAGCCATGCAGAACAGAGCAGTAAAATATCTGCCTCAGGACGAGTCCCAGCAGCAGCTGAACGTACTCCGTGCGCGCAGTCATTGCTCCATGAATAAACCCATCCGACTGGCCTGAGTGAGGATACGTGCTAGTGGTGGACATCGTCTTTATTCTATCCATTATTGTCGATGGCCTGCAGCGAGCGGTGACAATTTCACACTCGGCTGTTCTGAGGCTCTGCGTTAAAGGAGCCGAGTGTTTCACGTAAAGAAACTGGTCAGAGCTCGAGTCGAGAGGAGAAACCCTGCAGTAAAGGTCGGCGCGCGACAGAGAGAGGTGCTGAAAAGAAAAGAAGGATGAACGAGCGGGAGAACAAGCGACGCAGCGTTCAAACCTTCAACCAGGGGTGTCTTATCGTGAGGATGCCGAGTCAGTTTCAGTTTATTTCTATAGCTCCAAGTCACAACAGAAATCATCTCAGGACACCGAACGGAAACATTCAGACATTATAAAAAGCCAATTAATAAAAGTTATTTATCTGAGGAAGCAGCAGGTTGTGTTGAATCTTCACTTCATCACAGTCTCCCATCCTGAGCAAGCACAAAGGAGACAGTGGAAAGAAAAAACTCCCTTTTAACAGGAAGAAACCTCCAGCAGAACCAGACTCGGGACGAGTGGCATCTGTATCTGCTTGGACCGGCTGGGTTTGAGAGGACAGGAAGGAGAAACAGACACGGACTAACAGGTCCAGGTGAACTTTCTATAGGAGGAAAGACAAAAAACACAAGATGGAAATAATGACAAATTCATTCAACCTTTATTTATACAGCTTAGTCCCATCGAGCCAAATACAAACAGGTAGAGTCGAGCAAGTAAAGAAGCAGCAGAGAGAGGAGATGTGGGCAATTTGTCCTCAGCAGTCTAATCCTATAGCAGCATAACTAAGGGAGGAAACTAAGCCAACGCTGACTATAGGATTTATGAAAAAGGAAAATTTAACCCTGATCTTAAAATTGGACAATGTGTCCGCCTCACGGACAGAAACTGGAAGTTGGTTCCACAAGAGAGGAGCCCGAGAACTGAAAGATCTGCCTCCCATTCTGCTTTTGGAAACTCTAGGAACCACGAGTAAACCTGCAGTCTGAGAACGAAGTGCTCTGTTAGGAAAGTGTGGAACAATAAGATCTGTAATGTTGAGATGGAGCTAGGTTGTTGAGAGCTTTGTAGGTTAGAAGTAAGATTTTGAATTCAATTCTGGATTTGACAGGGAGCCAATGGAGAGAAACTAAAAGTGGAGAGAGATGATCTCTCCCAGTAACTCCAGTTAAGACTCTGGCAGCATTTCAAATCAGCAGTTTTGACCCAAATGGCAGAAGAGCAGAAAACTGGTTCCACCGCTTCACCCAGAGCAGTTTATGTCACATGAGTAGCTGTAAGTGATTTCTCTTCCCGTGCACTCATACACGTGTACGCTCACAAAATCGGCTCCGTCTCACCTCAGTGCCACCTGGCAGGAAGTGCTGGCCCTGTTCCCAGGATCCTGAAGGATTTCTGCAGTTGTTTTAAATCCTCGAGGTCAAAGGAGACCGATGGCTCCAGAATAAATTTAGTCGCTTTTATTTATTTGTTGTTTTTTGTGTCTGGCTTCAATAAAAAGAACTGCAGGTTGGATGTTCGGAGGACTCGTCAGGACATGCAGACAACAGATTTATTATTGTGGCCTTTGATTGGATGGTCATTACAATTTTACGTGCGTCTTTGCGCATGAGATTGTGCGTAACGTTATGTCCACGGTTTGACTAAATGACTCCACTCATCATTCCTTAACATGAGCTTGTCTAAAACACTGGCGTAACAGACGACGGGCGACGTGCACTCCTTAAAGAAATGCTGAGCCTTTAATATTACACGTATTTAAAGCTTAACCTGTAATTCTAAAACTGTTTAATTCCTAAATATATTTCTGATAAACGTTCAGATTAGTGATGGTGTTCTTGTCCTTCCTGCTCCTGTAGGTCTGTGTGGAGGAAGTGCCTCTGGGAAAACCACTGTGGCCAATAAGATCATTGAAGCGCTGGATGTTCCCTGGGTGGTTCTGCTTTCTATGGATTCTTTCTACAAGGTAACAAACCCGGCTGGCAGCAGCTCTGCGTGTGGAAATAAACATTTAAACAAGAGCTTTGATTTGTGTTTCAGCTGTAAATGTGGCTGCTTCTCTCTCAACAGTTATACTTTTGCTGGAAGTTTAGCCACGAGTACCCTGAGAGTTAACTTTAGATTTTGATTCAAGAACATCAGCCGATCGTGAGAATTTTTGTTCTGCTAGATGCAGTATGGATGATGAGTGCTGAATGACTGCGCTGAAACTGAGTTCTTAATGCTGCGGGACTCTCTCCACAAGAACAGAGAAAATTGTTCTCTCTCAAAGGGCTGTGAGAAAAGGATGATGTCATAAGAACTTTGTTCTTGTTCTTGGCACCTCGAGAAAACAATCTTCTCAGTTCTTGCGGTGTAGCTTTAAACCTAAAAGAAGCAAACATTAGCTAAAAGCTAACATAATAAAAAGTCTAGGTAAAAGCTAAAAGTAGAATTATAAAAGGCTAAACTTAGTTTGTTACTTTTAACTTTTTATTAACTCTTCGGCTACTTTCAGTTTCTAGGTAACCTGTTTTACTTTTAAGCTAGCTTTTTAAAACTTATAGCTTTAACTAGCCATTTGCTAGTTTTAGCCATCATTTTGCTGCTTTGCTTTTAATTATCCCTTTGTAGCTTTTGTTTTAGCTAGCCTTTTGAAACTCTTAGCTAGTTTTTTGCTACTTTTAGCTTTCAACTACCTTTTATTACGTTTATGTTTTTGCATGTGTTTCACTTCTTTTGCGTTTTAGCTTTTGATGCTTTAACCTAACCATTAGCTAATTCTAGCTTCTAGCCTGTTGCTGCTTTTAACTAGCCTTTTGCTAGTTTATTTTATTTTATTTTTTGCTAATTTTAACGTTTAGTGTTCTGCTCCCTTTGGCTCTCAGCCAGCATTTTGTCCTTTTTACCATATAAATAAAGATTGAATGAATAAATTAATAGTGTTGTACTCCTTTTAGCTTTTAGCTAATGTTCTGCTTCTTTTAGTTTTTCATAAGAACTTGCGTTTTCTTTAAACGTACTTTTGTAGTTCTGTTAGCATCGCAGTAGTTTGCACCGTTTAAACAAGTAGCTAAACGAATAAAGCTTGCTCTTTTTTTACAGAAGAAACTAGAGATGCTCTTAAGTTAAGGTTTTGTCATTTGAAACATTATTTCTTCTATTTCTTCATCACAGTTTTATTTACTTTATCTTCTTGTAACAACCATCTTTACGACTACCGTATAAACTGAGCCAAAAAGCTAAAGTTCCTGCTGGTTTAAATTGATCTGAGCAGAGGTGTTCTCTTGTTTTATCTGTGATCTCTGGTCCGTTAATGTTTCAGGTGCTGAATAAAGAAGAGCAGGATCTGGCTGCTAAAAACGAGTACAACTTCGATCACCCCGACGCCTTCGACTTTGAGCTGCTGGTCAACGTCCTCAGGAAGCTGAAGAAAGGAAAAAGCATCAAAGTGCCGGTTTATGACTTCACCACTCACAGCAGACGCAAAGAATGGGTAAAACCTCACAAACGTCACAGTCGAGCTTTTTGTTTTTCACTCTACAGGTTTATTTTGGATAGATTTTACTCACGTTTGTTCATTTTAAATTGGGAATATTGGTCACAAGACCAAATGAAATGGTTACTACAGCCCTTTCTTTACTTTTACACAATTCGTTATTAAAAATAAACATTATGTTTATTAATTATAAGTAGAATCAGTTAAAAAATTAATGCTACAATGTTGAATGCAAGTAATGACATAATAATTAAAACTAACAGGACAGCAGGACTGTTTCAGTAACAAATCCCTGAACATGTCGGGGGATAAATTAGTCGTTTGAACTGATGCCAACTGAGATGCTAATTTGCTAATTATTAGGGATTTAGTCCACAGGACATTAACCACTAAAACTTCTCCATCCAGAAGCGCCATGAGGAATCCATCTCTTAATGTAGCGCTCTGACATATCCTCACTCTTCCTTTACAATGTAATTTCACGGCTCGGTGGCGGAGCACGTCGTGGGAAATCGCCTTCCTTTGACTCGTGACGCTGGAATCATTTTATGGGTCTTTTATACAACGATGAATGTAATTAAGTTTCAGATCCAGAGAGTGGTGTCAGATGGGAAGGCCAACAAGCCGCAGCCTTATATACTCCGTATTCCCTCGGTGTTTGTCTGTTTGCTCCAGTTATTTGGATGGACAAGAACAAGCAACTCTTTTAATTATTTCATTCTGATTAAACTGGAGGTTGGAGAACAACTGCATCATTACCTCCCAATCAAGGACATTATTTCATCACATAAAACACTCCTGGTTTTGAAAAATGTTCTATCAACACTGCTGTCATCCTCTTCACCTTCCTTTTTTGTTCTTCCTCTCATTTTTAATTTAAAACAAGTCTTCCTCCTATTAACTTTATAATGAACCTAGTCCTAGGAAGGTGATGAGGATATGACAGACTGTACTGGGCAGAAGTTCCCCAGGCTTTCTGGAGGAATGTTAAAGTTTTATTTGGACATTTGCTGCTTTTTCAAATCAGCTTTAGTTCTTTCTCCGCACTTAACTCTGACTTATGCTAGGAAACATTTAAAAAACACAATTCAAGTGGTGATCCAGTGTTTTGCATAATTATAGGACATCTCAAAAAACAAACCGATCAACGTTGGGAGTCAGCTGGATTGCAGACAGCTGCTTCAGCTGACTCTAGGGAACAGAAAACTGTCTGCAACTCTGCGTTTCACACATAATGAGATGAAGTTTGGTGTCGCATTAGTCTGAGCACTGAGTGTGCAAAGTATTTGTACAAAACATGCAAAGCAGTGAAATGCATTCCTTTAAGAAATACTACTTTATTTTTTCTTCATTACGTCAAGCGTAACTGTTTTATCAGCATTAAACTTTATTTGTCTGAAAATTGCACTTGGAAGCAGCCTCTCAACCTAAAGTTGTTTTTTAGCCATGCAAGTCTTTTTTACTTACCTACTTACTTGACTTATGTACTTACTTACTAGTCTACTTACTTACCTACTTACTTACGTACTTGCGTGCTTACATACTTACCTACTTACATAGTACTTATGTACTTACTTACGTATTTACGTACTTATGTACTTACCTTCTTACTTACTTTCTTACTTACGCACTTACGTCTTACTTTACTTACGTACTTACCTACTTTACTTGCATATTTACTTACATAGTACTTATGTACTTAGTTACATACTTACTTACGCACTTACTTATGCACTTACGTCTTACTTTACTTACGTACTTACCTACTTACTTGCGTATTTACCTACTTACATAGTACTTATGTACTTAGTTACATACTTACGCACTTACGTACTTACTTACGTATTTACCTATGTACTTACGTACTTACTTACGTACTTACTTGCGTATTTACCTACTTACTTTATTTGCGTATTTACCTACTTACATAGTACTTACGCATTTACGTACTTACTTACATATTTACCTATGTACTTACGTACTTACTTACATACTTACATACTTACCTACTTACTTTACTTACGTATTTACCTACTTATATAGTACTTATGTACTTACTTACGTACTTACTTGTGTACTTACATACTTGCTTACTTACATACTTGCTGACTTACCTGCTTATATGTGCTTACTTGCTTACCTATGTACTTACTTATGTACTTACTTACGTATTTACCTATGTACTTACGTTCTTACATACTTACTTACGTACTTACGTACGTACTTACTTACTTACGTACTTACCTACTTACTTTACTTACGTATTTACCTACTTATATAGTACTTATGTACTTACTTACGTACTTACTTGTGTACTTACTTACGTACTTGCTGACACCTACTTATATGTGCTTACTTGCTTACCTATGTACTTACTTACGTACTTACTTGTGTACTTACTTACGTACTTGCTTACTTACCTACTTATATGTGCTTACTTGCTTACCTATGTACTTACTTATGCACTTACTTACTTTACGTACTTGTTTATTATTTTTGCAGAAAACAGTTTATGGAGCCAATGTGGTCATCTTTGAGGGCATCTTGGCGTTTGCCAACAAAGAGCTGCTGAAGGTAAAATACATTTCTTCTTACGGTGCTCTTGAATGTTGCAGGTAAAGTTTTCACTTTTTTAAATCCTGTTTTTGATCATTTTAGTCTTTAAATCTGAGATTTTTTCTCCTTCAGTTCTCAATTTCATGACTCAACCTGACCTTGAAGCAGTTGATGCTGTGGCACCAAATCACGCAGAAATCTTGCATCCCTGATTGTTTTTGAAGATTCCTCTCAACTGTTTAGAAATCTGTTATTATTGCTCTGTTAGATGTGATTATTAATGCTGTCAGTTTGGAGACAATCAACTGAAAATCCACATAACACTGATAATAAACACAATCTTGCTTTAATGGAATTAAATCAACTAAATCAAAAGTGTGAAATAAGACGTTTCCTTGTTTGCCTGTGACTGACAGGCCTCAGCAGCAGCTGGATTTGTCTCTTGTCAAGGCTCATCTTGGTTTTTACTGGTAGTTTGGGTGCTGGGACATTTATAAAGGCAGTCTCGTATAAACAGAGTAAGTCTTTTCATCCTTGACACAAAGTCGAGCTCATTCTTGGTGCAGGATGGTCTCAGCCAGGGCCGTCCCTTGTCCCAGCTGTTTTGTGGGGTTCATGAACCAAATCTTAAGCTGCAGAGTCTTCTTTCTGCTTTATGCAGATGATGTGGTTTTGTTGTCATCTTCAAGTCCCGGTCTTCAAGGTGCACTTGGGTTTGCAGCTGGAATGAGAGTCGGCCCCTCTGGGTCTGAGGTCCTGGTTCTCAGCCAGACAAAGGTTTAATGCTCCCTCTGGTTCGGGTTCGAGTCTTTGTCTAGAAGTCTCTTTTATGAGTGATGGCAGAATAAAAGGAGAGATGGGGCCTTATCTGCAGTAATGAGAGCATTGCTCCGGTCTGTTATGGTGAATCCTAAAGGCATATTTCATGTTTTATTCATCTTTCTACCTTCCAGCCTTCACCTGTGTGATTGTATGATGTGAATGACCTAACAAAGAGATTTTGATATAATCCTCAATAGGGTTCCTGGCTCATCCACAATGGTCCTGGATGATGGAGCTCCTCACTTCATCTCTAAGCCTGAGCCTGGCGCTCCGTAGAATTCCAGGCTCAGCCTTAGAGATGAGGTGAGGAGCTCCATCATCCAGGATCATCTTGAAGTAGAGCCACTGCTCCACCACAGGAGTCAGGTAGTTCAGTCATCGGTCTCCTTCTGGAGGTTTCCTGGGCACATCAACAGAGAGGAAACTCCAGGCTGAACCAGAATTCACTGAAGGGATATCCTCTCTGGTCTTGGAACACCTTGGGTCCCCGTGGAGGAGCTGGAACACGTCTCTTGGGAGGGAGGGAGGATTAGGGTTTCCCTCCTGGACTTGTAGCCTCCATGACCCAACCTCAGATGATTAGAAGTAAATGGACATGTGGATGTTTCATAGTTGGGTTGTGGTTTGTCCACACATCTGTTTCTGTTTGGTCAGATGTTTTTTGGACTTGACCCTGAAACCAGAAACCTTTGATTACCAAAGTCTCTATCTCTCTGTTTTGTATCTTTCGTCTTTAGGTATCAGTTAATTCTGACCAGCAGAAACTACTTTCCATTCAAGGTTTTGATCCGCAACTCATTTCTGTCACGTCTGTTCATTCTCACTTCCCTGATCGCACTTGGATCCACAAGAGACAGTATCTGCAGAGTTTTCTCCTCCGGCTTTGGTTTAGTTTTTTATCCAGAGCCATCCTCATCTCTCTGCCGACTCTGGGTAACATCTTCAACAGCTGCTTTAACCCTGATGCCCTCTGGGGCTGCAGACTGGCAGCTTTCACATTCTTTCTTTGTCTAGAGACACTGCTGTAGAAAGTGGTTCTTTAAAAGCCACAAAGAGGATTTTTCCTTTCCTAATCTTATTTTTCTTCTCCTTGCTTTACTATTTATCATCAAACGTGTAATTTTGCAGAAATATATTCTCATTTGAGTTGCATTTTATAGCAATATTAGCAATACAGAAAATGTTTAAGTGATTTCCATTTATCAGCACCTGTGCAACGCCAACACCTCAGATCGATAAGACTTTATTTTGTTAGGATTTAGTTTAATTAAAATGTTTTAGATTCAGTCTAATTCTTTTAAGACAAAAAAAAATCCATATTTGTGGAAGTGAAGACTTTCAGGGGACATTTATTTGCTTTTTTTTAAAAATACTTCTGACAGAGAAAATCTATTAGAATAAAATGGAGGGTTTTCTTTATGATAAATGAATCCTGCTGCTATACTTTGTCTCCCCTCTAATGGTGTGTGTGTGTGTGCATGAGTGCGTGCATGTTTATATTTGTGCACTGGACTGTGGTGATAAAGTAGCCGCCTCTCTTGAGACCCATCTGTGTTGCTGATTCCTCTCTTATTCAGTTAATAACAGCCATTGTCTGCTGTGATTAATTGTGTTTTGTGTAACTGAAGCTCATTTTAGCTTCATCTCAGGTTTCTGCAGACGTCTGTCTTAGCGAACTGATACGCTGCAGCCGAACCGACACCGAGCCAGGTGTTTTATCATGTAATAGAAGATGTTGAGGTAGATTTTTGGTTTATAGTTAATGTTTTTATTGAAACAAACTTGTTGTGGGCAGTAATGCAATTGACATAATGCCAACAGTAAAGTTGCTCCGCCCACGAGGAGATGTAACCCAGGGTGAGCGAACCAACAAACCAGCAGACAAGCTGTAATGGTGGAGGTATTGAAGCTCAAGAATTTACAGTGAAATTCAGAATGTTTAAGAGTGTAAATTGTACATTACATAACTTAATGACACTTTGTACAAAATCAGTTTAGTGTTGACTGATCATAGTAAACAAAGACTGAACTGATGCAACCAGAAGTTACAACATATATCTACATATAAAACACACAAAACAAAGCACAGCTAGCTTTAAACATTAACTTTTAATTTAATCATTAAGTATAAAATGTAGTTATGACAGAAAATGGAGGATTTACCTGCAGTTACCTTCGTACAGACGAACATGCGGTACTTCCTGTTTATAACGGTTCATGAGGTCGGCTGCAGGTCTTTATCATCTTTTACATTTTTAACAAACAGCAAATCAATTTTGATCATTCTCTTAAACATACACATTGATCTGGCATTTTTAACATCACTCTCCAGATTATTCCATAATATAATTCCTTGGATTGAAGTAGACCTTTCCTTCAAACTACTTCTAAATTTAGATTTCACACATATCTCTATGCCCTTGAGATTATAAAAGCTCTCTTAACAAAGTTTAATTGGCTATTTAAAGGTAATGTGTTATTATGAGCCTTATATTTAACTGATAAAATACTTTATCAAATCATGGAACTTCAATAACTTCAGTTGATAAAATAAAGTACTTAATGGGTGACTGAAATGCTTTCTAGTGATAATTCTTAATCTTCTTTTTGTAAAACAAAAATAGGATTTGTAATAGTTTTGCACACTTTTCCCCAAACATCAATACAATAGATTAAGTGTGGAACAATTATTGCGTTATACAACATATACAGAGCTTTATCATTCAATAATTCCCTTACTTTGTACTGTACTGCAATAGATTTAGTTGTTTTTTATTCTTATATAATTTATGTGATGTTTCCATGTCAGTTTTTCATCAATAACACCCAAAAACTTCACCTCACTAACTCTACAAATCTCAACACCCTCGACTCTAAATGGAACATTGACAGTTCTCTTTCTGTTACTGAATATCATATAGTTAGTTTTATCAAAGTTTAATGATAATTTATTAAGTTTAAACCAAGTTTGTACTTTTACAAATTCTGTCTGCATCAACTCCAACATCCATTCTATGTCTTTACCCAAACAAATAAATGTGGGGTCATCTGCAAATAGAACACATTTAAGGAGTCCTGACACATTTACCAAGTCATTCACATTTAAAATAAATAACTTTGGTCCAAGTACAGAACCTTGAGGAGCTCCACTAGAGATCAGATTTTTCCAGACTCCATTTAAATTTTGGAAATGGAATAAACTGTATTCCACCCTCTAAACTCTCAGGGTAACGCTGTCTGAATTACATGTTCCCCGCTGACAACGCTGAACCATTTTTTTTGGTGATTTTTCACAAAGTCCCTCTGACTGCAAAGCGTTCGTAATGCAAAACCCCGACAATGTTGTCGGAGGAAAAGGGGCTGCAGCTCCTGCAGGTAAGGGGCGTTTCCAGGGCTTCATTTCTAAACCGATAGATGCCGGAACGCAACCAGCTGGGGTGGGGGTGCGTGTGTTCTGGGGAACGCGCTGTTCACAAGACAAGAACCTGACAAGTTGTTTAATGACATAAAATATATTTTGTTAGCAAACATTTATTAAACATTACTTCTGTATTTTCAAAAAAAACCAAAACATCAATATAGTGCTTTGACAAACTGAAAAATTTTGTTAAAGCGAAATAGGAAAAGAGGGGCAGGTATCTCTCTTGGAGTTTATACTCTTTGTTGCATGCGCACTGTGGCTGACAAGCATCCAGAGCGTCATAAAAACAGCAGCGGAGGTGTTGGAGTTATTGATCGTCTCAGCAGCAGAGGGGAGCGACACAGTTCAAGAATGGCTCCCAAAATGACAAGGCAGCCATATTTTGTTCATAACTTTATTATTAGTAAGCCTGAGAGTTGCCAGATCCCAGCAAACAGTTGCCGGAACGCACCCTGTCAAAATAAGGGAGTTCCTGGACCTTGTTCCCGTAGGATCCGACTCAAATTAAACACTGGGCGTTTCACTTCAGGACATGTTGATTGGTCAGTTGCTGACGAGCCTGCTGGATTGATTGACAGACGACGTCATGTCAACTGGACAGCCTTTAAATAGTTCCTGACCTTCTAAAGCCAGTGTTGTGGTAAATGTCACACACTGGAGAACTGACGTCTCCTGTTGCTGTCCTGTTTGCAGCTCCTGGACATGAAGGTGTTTGTAGAAACGGATTCGGACATCCGCCTGATCCGGCGGCTGAAGAGGGACGTCTCCCAGCGAGGGCGGGACATTAACGGCGTCATCAAACAGTACAATAAGTTTGTGAAACCCGCATTCGAGCAGTACATCGAGCCCACGGTGCAGGTTGCTGATATTGTGGTCCCTAAAGGTCAGTGGTCCTACACAGACATAAAACACGAGTTTTTCTCACAGTGTGCACACTTCTCATGCTCGATACTTGTCCCTTAATGAAGTCTTAAAAATAAATCTGTATATTGACGTTTTTACCATAAATTAACTTTATATGTCATATTTAGGTAAATCTGGTTAATTGTGGGTTATACGTTTGTCTCAACATTGTTTCCCTGCAGGTGGAGACAACTTTGTGGCTTTAGATCTGATTGTTCAGCACGTTCACAGTCAGCTGGAGAAGGTAAAGATTCCCAGTTATTCCTGAACTTCTTTGTTTTTACCGAATCAGCTGAACGTTTAGTTGATCTTAGGGCTGGACGATATGGCCAAAACCGTTATCACGATATATTTCTTACTTTCGGTCAATAACGATATAATTGCGATATTGATATAAACAACATAAAAGCCTCAGAAAAACTGTACAAATAAATTAATGTTCACCTTTTATTTGTGTTTAGCCTTCAAAAAACTTGACGTGCTTTGGAGCCTAGCCTAGCCTGCTACCGCTGACTCCTTCGAGCTGTGGTGTACGTCACCACGCATTTACGTAGTTTTGTCGCAACTTTTTCTGTTCGGGCTGAAACGGAAGCGGCCGCTTCCACCCGAACAGAAAAAAAAAGCGTCAGTAAAACGCTGTAATCATATCAAAATATCGAAAATGTGCTTAAAACTCATATCACCGTTATTCAATAAAAGTATATCGTGATATATATCTATATCGAATTATTCTCCAGTCCCAGTTGATTTTCGGTGTTTCAACACTTACCATGGTCAACCAGCTCATGAAAGGAAAACGAAGAGCAAAGTCTGGAGCTGCTTGTAGAAAGAGTGGAAATATGTGAACGTGATGATGATCTGTACAGAGTTAACGAGAGAGGTTAACTCATTTATGATATTTACAACAGTCTCTCGTTTATCGCAGGGTTTTGTGGCCACGCCCCCTCCACGATAAGTGGAAAACCATGAAGTAGGGATAGTAATACAAATAGTAAGCATAGTAAGTAGTAGTTTATTGTAGTATTTATATATATGTCAAGGCTTAATTAATCCTTCCTACACTCTTGCAATATTCTAAACAATGTTTATAATCTCTAAACGCTCTAAAAGAGTACAGGATGTCATGATCTCCGCTCTGCCACGCCCACTTCGCTGCTGCTGCAATCACACTCGTCACCTCCCACTCTCCCTCCTTCTGTGTAAATAAACAATTTAAATACTGTAACATTTTAAATGTAAATTGTAGAGAAGAGAAGCGCAGCAGGACATCAAAGGGTTAACTCTTCACGAAGCCGTTGCAGCAGGAGAAGTGTGTGCGTGGCAGAGAGCGGAGATCGTGACAGGCTGCAGGAGGGAGCTTCCCCCTGCACTCGTGGGCTGCACACAGGTGCAAAGTCATTTAAAATAATTTGTTTTAAATAAACAATCCATGGCTCATCCATCAATCAGACAATTGTCATGTCCGATCTTACTTTGAAAACTGTGATAGAGCGAATCCGTGAAAAACGGACCGTGAAGTAGCGAGGGACTACTGTACTGTGAACGCAACTAAATCGATACAAAACGAGCAGCACGCCCGACGTCCCCCGATGCTGATGGATTTAAATAGAGAATGTTTGTAGTTCTCTAGATGTTTTCCTCCAGCTTTTCTGGACTGCAATTGAACAGAGAATATAAGTTAACTTTAATGTTTTTGGTGCAAGATGTTCAAGAGGGTAGGAGATTTGCCCGTGAGTTCAGCACACAAAAATGGAGCAGCTCACTAAAGGTGAACAGCTTGAAACGCTAAATTGTCGTTCTGGTTGCTTTTGTTTAAACCTACTTGGGTTATTCCTTAATTAAAAATATTATTTTTGAAATGTTCAAACTAACCATGTAGGTTTTTATTCTTTCTGGGAGTTTACGCAGTCTTGAAAATTTTAAAACGGTGTGGGAAGTGACTTTTAGTGTTGTTCAGGTCCAGATAAATATCATAAAAATAAAAGGTGTTTCTAGATTCTAGATTTGTGACATGACGTGTCTGTGATATTCATGATGTCATGAAGGAAAATTTAATTAATTGTTCAGCAGATGAGCGTTTGCAGGCCCATGTATGAAAACTTTAATAAAAATATTTATTTCAAGTTCATGCAAGAGGCTCTTTAGTTTCTCAAGATGCTGAAATTTTAATTTTGGACCCATTCTTCTGTTCTCACCCCATCTCGTCTCATTAATGTTCCCTCCTGAACTTCAGTGACCTCAGTAAGACAGCTCTTTAGTAGTTACCTGAGATTAATGACGCTGTAAGGAGCAGAGAGGTGTCGTCCATCTTTCTTCCTCCCAGTCTGCTGTCATCCGCTCACTTTATGACCTACGACTAACTGCGCTCCGTTCGTTCATTCACGGCACCAGCAGAACCCATCTGTCAGAACCAGTGGAACACGGGGTGGAACAGAGAGGTTAGCATGGAGCCGTCTGAAGCTTCTCATGGCAAAGTGCAACATGAAATCCTGAACTAAATCAGCGGTGCAGCTGGAGCTTTCCAGATAAGTTCATATGTAAATGTGAACAAAGCACTCACCTGAATGTTACAGACTACCTGAGGCTGGCTGAAGTCTGCAGGTAAGCAAATGGCAGAATCAAACAGGCCGAGGATTTTGGAGAAGCTGAGGTGGAAATTAAAATGTCAACCTGCTGCTGACAGCCAAAGAAAATAAAGAAAACTAGAGAAATTGCATTTCCTGCAAAAATGCGGTGTGGCTCCTTATAGCTGAAAAACAGCTGGAATTGAAGAACAATCCCAAGTTAGCAGAAGAAGAATAAAGATAACATATTTGCTGAATTACGTTTAAATAAGCAGAAATCAGCACAAAATTTAGGTTAAGTTAAAAAAAAAAGCTGAAATTAGCAACAACAACAACAAAAAAACAGCTGAAAAGTAGCTAAAAAAAAAGCAGAAAGAAGTTTAAATTACCAGAATGAAGTGGAGAGCACATTTTGGCTGATTTAGGCAGAAAAAAAGTTGAAATGAGTGCACAAAATGTGGAATTAGTTGAAAAAAAAAATAGCATAAAAACAGCTAAATAGTAGCTGAAATAGCAGATAAAGCTGAAACTAGCAGAAATAAGCTGAAAGGAGCATAACAAGCTGAAATTAGCAGAAAGTAGTTAGAAGAAGCACAAAAACATTGTAGTTGGCAGAAAGATGCTGAAACGAGCACAAAACAGCTGAAATTAGCTGAAAAAATGTTTAAATTTGCAGCAGGAAGCTGAAAGAAGTTGAACCAGAACAAAAAGTGAAAGGAGCAGCAACAGGTTGTGAACAGATCTAAAGATGTGAAGGAGGTAAAATGAGTTCAGTTCATTTTCTATGAGGAAAACAAAATGGCAGAAAAGGCTAAATATTTCAAAAAGCTAAAGTTGCACCAATACCTAAAGTCATAGCAGGATTGTCCTGAAGGAGCCGAACGTTTTGATTTGTTGAAATAGCACCAGAATTGTGGAACGAGAAAGATGCAGAAAAACACATGGAAGAAAAATGTTTCACAAAAGAGTGAATGTTTCACAAACTAATAAAAACACGTCTGTTAAAAACAAATATCGGGGATCGACACGCACAAATTTACTAAAGCTTCTGCTAAACCAGTGGGTTTACTGCTTCAACCAGTCTGAGCGTAAATAAGAACCAAAACAACAAAACTGTCAGACCACTCCGGACGTCACCATCGTTGACTGGTTTTCGTAAACAAATGCACAGTAGGTCACAAATTTAGATAAAAAATTATAGATTATCTTTATTAAAATTAAAAAAACACCACACAGATTAGATTGTTTATTATTTTATTTTTACTTTTTGACCAAGGTAAAGGATTTTGCTATGAGTATCTTTAAAATGAAATAAACAATTTAAATATTGAGGTCAAAGGTTATACGAGGTCTAACCTTGTGTGGTTCGTTGCTGTAGATTTCTGTATAAGACAGGAGCATAATGTGCCGTGTTATTTTAGTGGTTAATCAGATAATTTTATTAATCTTGAGGTGAACACATGATTGTCCTAAAAGGACCAAACAATGACTGGACATGAGTAGGCCTGTTGTGATAAACAATACATCAATTAATCGCATGATAAATGAAAATAATCAACCTCATTTTCATTTATCAGCTTTATCGTTTCTTCATGTCTCTTTCTACTGAAGACACTGGATGAGAAAAGGTTCAACTCCGGTGTTCTTCACTGACCCCTCCCTTTCTCTTTTTTTCTTTAAAATCTGTTTTAACGATCCAAAATCACATTTTTGGATCGTTAAAAGCAGCTAAGCTGAGAAGCTAAGCTACGAGCTAAGCTAACAGGCCGACCTCAGGGAAAAACCCTCCGTCTTGTTTGAAGCTCCAAAATTCACGGTTGAAACACGTGCCTTCGTGTAAAAAGTTGTTTTTCTCTGCAAAAAGAAGCTGAGAACTAGTTTACCTATTTTTTTATTTTTTATTAAAAGCTTTGTGTGAAAAATGCTATGCTAAAGAGCTCAAACCACACCGAGCGTCCGCCATTTTGAGGACAGCCCATGTCACGTCAAGGGGCCTCCCTCCCATTTTTCTAAACGCTGCTCGCTCCCTCACTATCCATCCTTCGGTTCAAACTGTCTTATACTCCCATCCAGTGGTAAAAAAAACATACTACACAAAAATTAACCAACATTTCCTCTTAAATTTGACAATAATTACTAATTATTGTCAAATTTCAAACAATGTTATCGTTTATCGCAATAATTTCTGAGACAATTAATCGCCCAGCAAAATTTGTTATTGTGACAGGCCTAGACATGAGTGAAATTTAAACTTTAATATATATTGTAAGAACCTATTGTGTTCGATTTTGTTGTTTGTTTGTTTCTATACAGCAATCAGAAGACATGAGGATCTGGGGAAAAATCATTTAAAATGTTCTTTATGCACAGCGCACCATGTAACGAAACGATGTAACGATGAAGAAAATGTTCTTAAAGACTTACCTTTGAATAATGATTCAACCATTAGACATCGATCCATTTCTTTTCTTAGCTTCACATTCGAGTGTTGAAGATAATCACACAATATTAATATTTTAAAACATCTGTCAGTTTTCAGATCTTCGTTCAAACCAGTGTCTTCTCAGTAATAAAACTTATTAACGCTCGTCAGCTTGTCTGCTTCATTTCGTCCTCATTTCTGTGAATTTATGTTAGAATAACAAAAAACCTTTTGAGTAAACGTCAAAGAGAACTGCGTGCAGTCAACGGTGTTATAAATGACCTTCAGATGATTCGGCTGTATATTTTTCTCCTTTGGCTTTATTCGCTCTGCAGCCACGTTGTTAAACTGACTTATAAAACTGATTTCACTCGTTTTATTCGCAGAACAAAAAGAAATGAACTCAGTAAAACGTGATAAATGGTGCTGTTAAACTTTCCTTCTCTCAGGCATTAAATTAACGTTCATGGTTGGTCAGTTTGAGTTTAGAGTCATACGTTTCAGCAGACCAACATTTATTTTTGCTTTAAATCTTTGATTTTTTTTTTCTCCATACCTCTTATGTTTCTCACACGCTGTGTGTTTTGTGTGTGTGTTTGTCTCTTTGTACATGCACGCCCCCTCCTTGCCTGGCTGAATGCTGTGTGACCGTTCCAGCGTGAGATCAATGTGAGGTATGACTGTCATCACAGCATCTCTTTTACCGTGGTCGTTAACGAACTCAACCTGTTTTCAAGGAAACATCTTGAAAACAGAAAAAAAAAAAAACTTTAACCTGCTAAGCCGCTGCTTTTCAAACTGTGGTCCAGGTACTACTGATACTACTAGAAAATATGGCATCAAGTATTTACAACTTTAAGAAAAAGCGAATGAACCAACATGAACCAAACTAATGTAAAGCTAAAATGTAGAAATAGACAAAAAGACGAGTGTTTCCATCAAAATAAAAGCTTTGCTCTAAGTGGGAACCACTTGAAACTCAAAGTGAAATGAAAATGATTTCAAGAACCCCCGTGATAACCGTGATGGATCATCTAACAAAGTTAAGTCAAGTCCTCTGGACAGGTCCCTTATCCAAAAGACTTCTTCAGTCTGAGGAGCTGCAATAAACTCAGTCTCTTAAATAGCACCTTCTCATAGTGGATCAACCAGTTGCTGGTAACATCCAGAACTAGCTGTTCACGTGATCAAGGAGGACCTTCAGTCTAACGACCGATCGTTAGTGCCTTGATGGCTGTTTACTATTCACAGAAGGTTGAGTGAAACTAGCAATCACAGCATTGTAAGAGGGGGACAGTTGGACATGGAGGCTCCACCCTGTTTAATGATGGACAGTTTCTTTTCACAAAGATGGCCTCCTTTACTCCTCTCTCAAACTATCCAGGATGTGAACATCTTCATCCCTGAAAGAGTGACCGCTGGC